CAATGTGCAGTAGCCCACTGAACAGTCCGTGTTCTTTGCTTCCTACAGGACGACGCGCAACCCAGAATTTCCTCCAATTTTAACACGAGATAGGGGACATCTCAAGCTTCAAAATGGCGTATGGCATGTCCCTATCGGACCTTTACGGAGGAGAATCATCCCTCCTGTGCCGAGTCCTATCTGCCCTTATCTCATTCATGAAGGCATGCATGATATCTTGATTATTTTTCATCAGGTTCTCGGCCATTGTTCTATTGGCAGCAGTCTCTTCCTGCAGAGCATTTAGAACTGCAGTAATAGGATCTGGTGCTGCTAGACGACCTGCACCTCGAGTTCCACGGCGACCTCGTGCCCTACTCATGATATCTGTATATGTAACACAAAGGAATGAGTTGATCAGACTCACACTGAGGAATCACATATACATTAATCATAAACAGTTCACAGATAGCTATGCAACACAAAATACAGTTATACATTATCAGAGTTCCCTTACAAAACTGCTCTGATACCATAAAATGTAACAGCCCGTTGTACACCGGTATTGTTAACATTAATTATGATATTAAGCGCAGTTACAATCATATCAGTTTATTTATAAAAATGAGAGTAAACTTTTTCTGTTTATTACACGAGCATTTAAAACAATAAAAGCGTAATAAATAAAAGCTGTGACCGTAACTGTAAACTCTTTGCGGAATAATTATTTAAACTACTTTTATAACTTATTTTACATCTCTCAATTCACTAAGGGGTTCCCATAAACCCACTTAGCCAAAATCTCACTTTTACGTTTTCTACCTATCCGGACATGGTTCGCTCTTAAATTTTCTGCGGACAAACCGCATACGACAAGTCTCCCATCTTTTAGTATGTTATTCTAGACTCAATTAAATTTCTAGGAAGCTATCACACGAGTCATAAAATTATTGTTTGCTCCGGATATCGCCGTTTGAAGTTGGACAAGTAAATCTACCAGCCAACCCCAAAACAGCTCCAAATATCCTTCACTCAATCAATTACTGCAGAAAATCAACTCAACCAATTCGTCTCACAGTTTTATAAAAACAACTAGACACCTAAAGCTTCAATTTGATATATCATACACCTAATTTGACCAAGAAACGAAGCGGGAATAAATTTCCCAAACTCGGTTCAGAACTGTCCAATGTGCAGTAGCCCACTGAATAGTCCGTGTTCTCTGCCTCCTACAGGCCGACTCGAAACCCAGAATTTCCTCGAATTATAACACGAGATAGAGGACATCTCAAGCTTCAAAATGGCGTATGGCAAGTCCCTATCGGACCTTTGTGGAGGGAGATATGCTCTCTCAAAGTTTGCCAGAGTTTCCTTTGTTTTTCCAATAATCCCCAAGTTTGCACAAGTGATCTATGACCTCAAAATGTACCTAATAATCATTGGGTGGCACACACAAGGACCAACAATGTCTTGAGGCTCTTACAACCCATCACAGTCTATATTAAATTACTCAATTCATATCACATCGCTTACTTTGTTAACACTTAACATGTTTCAATCATCTAGGTCCATTTGCATGCATTTTCTAAACATACACATAGTCATAATCCTAGAATAGGCCTATGGCCCTTTCATCATATTACATATGCTTCATGGTTACATCAGTTCATGTACAAATTACAAGGCTTTCAATGGCATGTTACAATTACAAACCTTAACCTTCAAATAATACATGATAAATACTCCAAAATAAACATGATAAAGAAACCTCAAATGACATAATCCAAATGTAACTAGACTTAGGCAAAAACGGCATGAACAAATATGACAATAAATCTCCTCCTACATCCATATGCAATTTTCATACCCTAAGTCTAGCTAGGCCCAATGGCCACCAAAATGCAAAATAAATAATCCTATGTCTCAGTCATCCCATGGGCTTCTTGCCCACCGCTCCTGCACCACTGCTACCTCCTGAAATAAAGTCCCCAAAGCGGGGTGAGATATACGAATATATCTCAGTAACCCAGAGGTTCTGGAGAATACTCCGCCCAATGGCTCACTTCGATGCATATAAATAACATAACATAACATCTGTAAAACGGGATAAAGCAAAGGATTTAGTAAAATAGGGGAGCATAGGGATACAAAATACGACGAAGCTGGAATGGTCAATGCCAAAACCACGCAACGTCCAGCCTATTGACCTCGGCATATAAGCCTACGGGTCTCAACCAAGGCGTGTTCCCAGAACATCAAACCAAGGCACCCTCCATCCAATACCACTCGAGACTTCCTAGTGTGCTCCTATCCAGATCACACACCACGACCCCAAGTCAACTGGAACTCCCTCTCGGAGACCTATCCAGCGGAAGTCCGTAACGCCCGAAGGCAACACGTCTACTGGCCAGAGACACGGTACATCCTATGTACCAACACACATACTATATGCATGAACATGTTATCCTATATTACTTACATACACTTCCTACCATCACCCTCAACGGGCATGATGGAACACACAAGGGGATCAAGCCCCAGTACCAAGAGGTTACCTATATAATCCTCTCCACGTAGCTCCAATGCAATATATATTCCAAGCTCGTTACACAACAGAAATGCCTACACAGAGGACATTTCCAATCAACTCCCATTCAACAATTTCATGCCAATTCTCAAGCACAAATGCATGATTTAAAATACTCATCACAATCCCTTTGGTCCGGGACCAAGGGCAACCCTCCGAGCTCACGGTTCGGGGTTCCAATCCACGTACGGCAACCTACATGGATCATATATGCACCATTAATATACGGTGAATCTATCAAAATCCAAAAACGTCAAATTCTTCCCCTACACCATGGTAGGTTCGGCCAAATGAGTGTTATTTTGCAAAATATTTTTCTTTATTTTCTTTCTTATTTTCGTAAGCACTCTTAGGTTACCAAAATACCATTTTAGGTGCCAATTTGCAATCTACATCATTCAAACATTATTTTGCCTAATAGTTTGCTCTAGGTCCAATTCCACAATTTCACACTATCCAATATTTTTCCAACCTTCCAACCATCACACAACCCTACTAATTACCATTTAACAAACAACACATCATCCAAATAATTTTCACAACATTCAATCCTCATTCTTTCCATAATGGCCGAATTGTACCAAGGCCCTCCTCACCAAGGGTGATTCACTTCAAATCAACTATTCCTCACCTCATACAATCCTATTATTATATCATACAACCCTACAACAATCCAATTACACAATCCTAACAACAATCCAAAACACAAAGTCATGGCATCATCCAAATTTTCCTAAGTTATGATAACATTTTCACCAATAATTTTTATTGCATTTATAGCTCTAACACATCATTCTAAGACATAATCATCTAATACACATTTTCCATTTGAGCTCTCTAACAACACAAATCAACCAAAACAAGCTTAGGGTTCATGAAACTAAATCCATGAATCAAACCATTAAAATGTGAGGAAACTTACTCAAAAGGTTGGTAGAGGGCTCCTCCACATCATACTAAATCATTGGAGCTCCAAACAACTCCATGAACACAAATCTACACAAAAGGGCCACGGCTTTTGGGGAGGGTTTTCTCAAAATCTAATGGTTTTCAAGGCTCAAGGGTGCCACCAATGTGTTTAGGAGGTGGTTTCCAACAAATTTCAAGTCCAAGTTTACTTGATTTGATGAAGTATAATGTGAGTTAGAGGAGGAGGAAGATTTGAATGAAAATGGGGTCTTTGGGAGGGGAGGGCGGGTTTCACCAAGGGAGGGGGGAGAGAGAGATGATGAATAGTGTCCTTTTGCCAAGTTGTCATCTTATCACTTAAGTGGGATGGCCCCACCGCCACCTCACGCGTTTCAAATTAATTTAAAACCCTCGCTTAATCCACTAAACGTCCGAAAATTCATAACCTATTTAGAAACTCTAATTTTTAACATTAACCATTGTTCTTTAATTACCCTTGATCAGATGAATCCTGAGTTTTTTGGTCGTTCGGAGAAAATGTAGTTTTAAGCTGTTACGCGCGCTGTAGGCACGCTTCCCCAAACTTACTAATTTCCGTCAAATTTCATCAGAAATCATATTTCCAAGTTCTATAAACCATTTATAACTTGTATTCAAAACCTAGAGCTCAAAACTCAATCGGCATGTTTTACGGTGCAACTATACCGCGGTAATTTTACCTGGTAAAAACACTATTCACTGAATTTTCTGAAACTTGCGTAACCACTCAATTTTTCGTTCTGAATCCATTCCCAGGGTTAATTCTAGGGGTGTCAATATAGGTTTTGACACGCGGGTCGACCCGCGACACGACACGAAAATTCGTGTTCGGGTTGACCCGCAAAAAAATTCGTGTCGTGTTCGTGTTGGGAAAAATGACACGTAAAAAATTCGTGCCGTGTTAGTGTTGATGTATTCGTGTTCGTGTCGACCCGTATTTTTTTAAAATTATTTTATTTTTAATTTTTTATTATTATTTTTTTAATTTTTTTAATATCGATCCATTTTTTTAAATTTTTTTTGTCAATTACCATTTTGACCCTTATTTTGCGTGTTATTCGTGTCGTGTCGTGTCAACCCGCAAAAAATTCGTGTCGTGTCAGTGTTGAAGATTTCGACACGAATAAAAATTTGTGTCGTGTTAGTGTTGATGTATTCGTGTCGTGTCGAATTCGTGTCGTGTCGACCCGTTTTGACACCCCTAGTTAATTCCATCATTTGAGACCTTCTATTCAATTTTACCTTCCTAGGGTTGTGTGTTGGGCTATTTACCGTTTTACCCTTTCTTTGTATTTTAGCCTAATTTCTAGGATTTTCACTAATCCTTCCCTTTAATCCTCATTTAATATATTAATACATGATTTATAAATGTGAGGTGTTATATAATACGACGCCTTTTCTACATGCCTTATATCTTCTTGGAGTTTTGGACAGCTAACCTTACCATTGAAGGCCCTATTTGGTCCCTGACAAATTTATCGAGGCCCTATTTGGTCCTTAACACTAAAATACTCAAGATGCTCAATACAGACAATGGTAATAAGGTACATATCCCAAGCATGTGACCATTGAGGCACACAAAATACTCAATACAATGTTCATAAGAACCCAACCTGCAACTACCACTTTGAGGGATCATTTTGGCCTGCAACATGCTCCACAACTTTGCCTTACAATAAGGGCAGACTTCGATTGGATGGAGCTTGGCACCTTTACTAATAAGCATCTTCCTGACCTTTGAGGTTGCAAATGACTTAAAATCTCCACGGAAGAATCCTACATCTCCCTCTTCACCTTGGTCAAGATGCTCACAAGGATCAAACACATATAAAACATCAGTTCTGCATTGTGGCAAAAGAAAGCTCTTTCCTGATGTTCTAGAAAATCGAGTTTGATAAACAAAGTGACTAGGGATATGAATGCTATTGAACAAGCCACCTTTATTGCATCCTGAACAGTATATAAGCAACTTCCCCAGGGCCCTCCAATTCCCATCAACAATGTGGCTCCCACTAGATTGCAGATCATGCAACATCTTAGGAGCTCTTGTTTGACAAAACTCTTTCCATAGAACTCGCTTGGCAAGATCATCAATCAATTTGCGAACACATGACAGAGTAGCAATTAGTTTGGGATTCCAATTCAAATTATGAAATACTAAGAATATCACATCTTCACTCAAATGCCCTTTAGTACATTGACAGCTAGCTGAGTGTATGCATCGGTACTGCTTCGTGAGAATCATTTTCTTCACTTACCAAAACTAAATTTTTTTATCAGTTTATAACAAATCTTTATCTGCAAACTTTAGGGTGTTCATAAAGTTGACAAAACCTAAACATGTAATTTCACAGTTAAATACTTCACGGTAATCAGGAAAAAAAAACTGATGAAACCAGTACTGAACTATGCAAATAACAATTTTATGATAATACATCAGAAACAATTAATTTTATAAAAAATCCACCTAAACAGGTTGCTTTCTACAGTACTCAAAAGATAGTTCAAGAAAAGAAAACAAGAATTCTCTTATCCTTCCAATGCACTGGTATGGGATGGATTGCCAGAGTACTGATACTTCAATTTCTTAGAAGTGTCAAATCCATAAAACATTGTTCCTACCTCCAAACTGAAACTGAAAGGTGCATATTCAGTTCAGTTTCTTGTTTTCATTTTCGGTTAATATGTTTTCATTATAATTAAAAAAATAACACCTTGTATTTATTTTGCTAACGTGTTAAAAATGTTGCTTCCAAACAGGCTCTTACATACATGAGTTCCTAAAAACTAGAAATTAAGTTAGAAATTCAAGTGACCCTCAATTGATTTCGAACCTAGTTATTGCAATGACATACAACCTTAGCCAAATCTTCAATATTCATGCATCTACGAGTTCAAACTTTCCCAAATCATCCACGAAGTTGCCCAGCTCTGATTAACAGTAAATGCCACAACATACAAAAGATAACTAAACACATCTTCAGAAACAACATAATCACCAACCACATAACATCAAGTTCTACTACATTTTCTCAATGACTCAATCCATTTCAACCAGCCCCAAAATTTCTATTTTGCTGAGACACACCCATAAATAACATGCAAAACAAACAAGTTAACACAATTCCAAACCCACCCCTGAATACTAGAATTCACACACAAAATGATAAATTTCAAAAAATAAAATAAAAAAAATAAACCTTAACTCAAACGAGGAAATCAACCAAAACCAAAGGAATGAAATTCAGAGTGGAATGATCAAATAATTGACTCCACTTTGCAGGCTTGAAAACACACTGAATTATGGACTAGAGAGAGTTTGGGCTGTTAAATATGTGAAAGGTTCTCCTTGGTAAGCATTTTTGCAGACTTTCTTTTTTTAGTGTTAAGGACCAAATAAGGCCTCGATAAATTTGTCAAAGATCAAATAGGGCCTTCGATGCTAGGGTCAGCTGTCCAAAACTCGAAGAAGACATAAGGCATGTGCAAAACGACGCCGTATTACTTCCACGCTGGCATACTTAACGATGACTCAACAAACTAACGTTCCATGTGTGCTCCGTTAGTTGGGCCGTTGGATGCCAATTAACGGAAGGACAAACATGGCCCTATTTTTGTAAAATTAAGACCAAAATCAGCATCTTTTATTGTTAGAGACCAAAAGAGACTTCGTGAATATTGTCAGGGATAAAAAATGATATTTCTCTATTATTTTAAATTTTATTCTCCCGACTAATTAACCGTTTTTTATATATATTAAAATAATCGTGACTCATATACATTATTTTAACTAAACGTAAAAGCACCCGTTCAGGGTATAGCTGATCTTACGTATAAAAGTTTAATCTAAAGTTTAAAATAGTTTTGTTGATACTCTCATCATCTCAGCAAAGTTTGCATAACCCTTCCCTTCCCCCTAGCATGCATCAAAGTTTTTCATTTCTAAACTGAGAATCATAAACATAAAAATAAATAGATGATTATTGAATGTTACCAATAATATCACATTTCTATAGACAGTTCCTCTTATTTGAGGATTGAATAACATACTTTATCAAAGATGAGAATCCTAAACAATATCTTCACATGCCTTAATGTGCTTCATATATGAATCACCCAATCAATCTCAAATGCACACTTTCAAAGTACACATTTCAAATAATGAGTCAAGAAATAATATAAAAATATTATTCTAATAATGAAAAAGATGAAAAATTTTTGCTGGGAACCTACACCTATATGTAAGGGAGTATCCAGTGGCCCTAACAATCCAAAACAAGAAATCAAATTTTTAAGAATTACATAATGACTGCAAAAATAATTAGAACCAATGAGGTTTAACATTCAAATAATTTAAAACACTTTCCCTAGAATCACCTATCTTCTTATGCTCATCTTTTGAAAATAAAACCATTGCACTTAAAAAAAACACCAAAATCAGTGAATGCTATGTCATACTATCGTGTTTCTGTTTTGTTGGTAGGGAGAGAATGACTCCTACGTTCCTTTCCACCAGGTTTTGATGAGGCATTACCATACCAAATCATTCCAACTACAGCTATGACCATTCCAAAAACCACTTGGAGATTGAGACCCTCCTTCCCAAAGAAAAAGAACCCCATTATTAAAACAAGTATTGTCTTCATATGTCCCAGTACTTGAAAAGAAACAGCAGTGAATCTCCCAATGCAAATAAATTGGCTGAGGTTGGTACCAACTGCAATAGTGCATGACATAATTATGAACGTCTGCCAAAACCAAGAAAATGAAGAGTTACTTAGTGAAAGTATTAAGAAAATATCAACCCACATAAGACAGAGCCAAAAAGTAACAAAAGGTGCTTCATGAGTCCTCATGATTTATCATGTTTATCTTTACATTGATTGAGCACTGTAAATGCTTATGAATCCACAGCTAAATTTGGTTCTTCAATTCTCACTCTGTTCTCAATTTTGTTCCCCAAACTTTTGTTTCACTTTTGTCATTAAATCCTCAAATTTTGTTGAACGTTTTCTTTTTCCTCAAACTTATAAATAGTTGATGAAATAATGATTAATCTTTCTACGAAAATCATATCATATATGTTAAACATATTTATCAACTTCCACAAACCCAACATGCTAAAAAATATACAGGGAGCAAAATTCCCTTCAATTATGTAAGTGGTCATAATGAAAAGAAAAACAATTAAACAAATTCAACAGTCTAAAGACAAAAATTGGCACAATAAAAACTGAGAGAAAAAATTAAAAGTTGGGTAAAACTTTAGAATGAAAGATGATTTTTCCACAATCTTAAAGAGTATGTTTGATAGAGAAGATGAAATTTAGTAGGATCACAAAGAAAAAGAAAAAAATTCAATTCCTCATCTAAGTCAGATCTTTCTTTACAATTTTCATTTCAATGTTTCGTATCCCCCTATTTGGGGAGCTGTAAGCTTCATGTTCAATTACAAAAAAAAAAAAATAGTTACTGAACATAGAAATATACTTTTAACTGGGTTTGATGGCAAAGTATCAAGAAACAAAAAGATCTATTCATAATTTTCAATGACATGGAAAAGGCCAATTAATAGGGTACCAAGAGAAGTCGTGTAAAAGCACAAGAGAAGAAGGGAGTTCATGTAACTTATATTCGGGCCAAGTATATGTATGGAGTTGAAACCTGTGTACAAACATGGTGTGACCACGGAGGATTTCCCTATAACTATAAGTTTACACCAACGGTCAACTTCAAGCCCTTATCTTATTACCCTTGGCTTGGCCATTCTTACTTAACATATCTAGGAGCTAATGCCTCAATGCATGCCTTTTGCAAATGATATAATTCTAGTGGGAGAGTTGAGAAAAGGAATAAATGGTAAACTAAAGCTATGCAGGAAAGCTTTAGAATCACATGGCTTCGGTTTAAGCAGAGAAGTAAGAAAAAAAGTACAGGCAATGCAAGTTTAGCACAAACGCGAACTAGGAATAGCTTGAAGGTGAAAATTGGAGATCATACCATACAAAATGTCACACAGTAGTTATCTAGGATCTATCACACATATAGATGGAGATGTAAATCATGATCCAAGTTGTGTGAATGAAATGGAGGAATGCTTCATGTGTTATTTGTGATAGAAAGGTGCTTCTTCAACTAAAAGAAAAACTTTACCACAAATTCACAAGATCAGTGATGCTTTATGGCACTGAATGTTGAGCGGTAAAGGTCCAACAAATGCAGTAGGAATGTTGCTTTGGATGAGTGGTAATACAAGAAAAGATGAGATTAGAATGAATATATTAGAGGGAAAGTAGGAATTGCACCTATTGAGGAAAAGATGGTAGAATCACACCTAATTTGGACATGTGAGAAGAAGATTAGATGGAGGATAACCAAATGATTAGAGAGGTAGAGGAAGACCAAGAAAAACTCTAAGTGAAACCATTAAAAAAGATTTATGTTTCATCACAACGACTGAAAGTTTATTTCAGTAAAACAAAAGGCCAAAACCAAGCTAAATTATTTCAAATTATGTTAATTATATTTCAAATGGTGTTATCTCAATAAGTTAGTTACATTTCAAATTAGTTAGTTTATCTTAATCTGCTAGAACAAGATGTAATCGGCTATAAGAAAGCCAACTGACTACATGGAAAGTAAGCAATTACAACTTCATTCCAATTACTCTCTCTTTCTCTCTCTCTCTCACCAATTCTGTCAACATCCAAAAATTTACTTAACAATTTAGATCTAAATGGCCTCTTTGAAAAATTAGTTTTTGAGGAATGACTAATGTCTAAATAAATCATGTGCAAAGAGATAGACACAGGCCTGCCAACAAAGACCCTATACATCATATGCACAACCATGTGGATACATTTCCAGGTCAAATATCAAATCAACATTGATCCAACACATCAATCCATCCACTATAATATGCATATCCATGTCAATCTACACACACATACACAGGTACACTCATTTTCACGGAGAAAACAAATGATTTAGCCTCTAAATATTTAATTTAATAGCATTCATATTTTTCCATTATCTAGTACTTACCAAAGAGCCAGTGTTGTAATCATATCTGTCAACTCTTTTGTTTGTCAACCAATAATCTAGAAAAGGTCCTAATAACAGTAGTGATGCAGCCTGTGCAGGTGCTGTATGTCCCAATAGGTTGAAAGAACTTAGTGAATACTTTCGTTGAAGAAAATGAACATACTGCAAATAATAGATTTGAAAAAGCATGAGTACCAGGTATAAATTAATAAGAAAAAAATTCAGATTAAGATATACCAGTTAACAGATATAAGAGTAATCAGCAGTATGAAATATCAAAAGATTTTCTAACACTATGATGAGAAAAAAGCATTCATGTGAAAATATAAGCATAATACGTAAGACTACTAATTGAGTTTAGCAGCTGTATTCAGACAAATGTTTTAGATTTTGTTGTCTTACTTTCATACCTCTGTAAAGTTGTGCATGTGTGTGTTTGTGCTTGCTTAAATCTATTTGTGAGTTAACTATGCCATTTAAGTTTGAACATATGCAGTTCATGCCATGTAGAGGAATGTCATACGTACATATTGTTGCAAAGAAGTGCTCCATACTGCTATTAAGGCAGCAATGAATCCTCTTGTGTTAACACTCACATCAGTAACAGTGCAAACACCGACACCCAAAAGAACAACACATATGCTCAGTTTAGTATCTCTTGAATACCGAATCTTGTCGAGAACAACTTCCAATAGGCAGGATATAGGGATCATACTTAACTTTGCAATCTGCCAATGGTTAAAAAGTGAATATAACTTCTGAAGACATCAATGAACCAATAGCTAAAGCTCAGCCCAACTCACTTGATAAAATCCAACGGAGTTCCACATTAGACTAACATTCATTCCAACAATAGAGAAGTTAGCGAATAAAACAAATTTTAGAAGTTCTGGCAAGGGTAAATGTGAAGCCTGGATGTATCCCAGCATCCTAAGTATGATTGTCATCAAAGTTGTAGTAAGAAAGTGTAGACCTGTTAATGTCGTAGCTGCATGCAGTATAGACGAATCGTATTAAAAGAAGGTAAGAAATTAATATAAAAGCATGATGCATACCACCTGGGAAAAGACAAAGTAGACCAGTAACAGAAATGTCATTAAGAAATTGAAAAGGGAATTTACCAAAACTGAAGCCATAAGTGGCCATCAAAGCTTTGTTTACAATGATAACTCCAACAGAAGTAACAACGTTGAACATCCATGCAGCTGCATCCACTGCAGCCTTTTTCTCAGCCTTGCTAGCTGGAGCCATGTTTTTTAAGCTTCTCACAACTTTACCACTGGTGTTTTCTAACTAAACTCCATAACATTCCATCCACATTCAAATGACTTACGCCATTCAACTAAACTTGCAAACAGAGAAGCCTGGAAAAGTGGATGGCCAAGAAATTCTCAGATCTAAAATACATTAAAAAAACAATCGGTAATTCAACAAAACAACTGCAACCTAAAATCATCTTATGGCCATCAAAAGGGTTAGAAGCGGACAAGCAAAAGAATGGCCATTCATTTCATAATATTTAACAATAACCTGCTGGTAATATTATTTATTTATGAAATTAGCAACAATTAATGTATAACATCTAGCATCTACCCCATTAGATTTCTCCTGGTTGTGAGGAAAGGCTTACTTTGGTAGAAAGTTGACCCCTAGATAAAAAGAGAAATGCTACAGACTAGGACAAAGAGTATTCAGTCACATTAATAAAATAAAGAAGTTCTATGCATCAGATACAGTCAAGATTAAAAAAACTGTGTATTTTACTTTAAGGTTTAACGGTAACATTACATAACCCACAGCATATCCCTTCAAGATATTCAGGTAACGTCATAGCTCCATTTTCTCATCTATATGCAGTAATTGCATCCTTCTTTTGCACAAGGGACTATTCACAAAAACCACCCAAATGATTGACCACCTAGAAACAACTATACTTATGTATTGGCCAACTAAAGATTATAAAAAAGAATAACAAGAAGGACAATTCATTGCCAAAATCACACCATATCTTTAAAAACGTGTCGACATAGTATGGCTTTCAATTCAACCCCTCGTGATGTTCTATTCTGACATAGTTTAACATTCAGAGTCCATTATAAAGAATCTTTCTTATTCAGAAATAGCATCGGATCTGCGAGAAACCAATAGATTTAATACACAAAAATTTGAAGACATTACAGTCCATTTAAATAAAAAAAATGTCAATTCCAATTCTAATTTCGATTTACTAAGTGATGGATGCTAATATATATATATATGTGTGTGTGTGTGTGTGTGTGTGTTCATCGATCACGTTTGGCTGCAGCCAAATCAGCTAAGACCATTCCAAACTCCGATATTCAAGGAACCCCACAAGAAGATTTCACAATTTAAAACAACTTCCACGTCCAGTTTTCCCATAGATCCAGAAAGGGATCTCAGATCCAGAAGGGCAGCATTGAAACAAGTGGTAAAAAGGGAGATCAGGGTAGGGACAACCTCGTATGCACAATTTTTTTTTTTTTTTCCTTTCGTTTCAGTTTCAAATGGCAAACTTGTAACATTCATTCCAAGAAAGGAAAACCAAAAAAATCACAATTTTTTGTGACCCTTTTGATGGGGTTTGAATAAGATTCAAACAAAAAAGAAAAGAGGGGGGGTTGAGAGAGAAGGAGAAGCTTACCGTCAATGAAGGTGGCACTGTGCTTATGTTGGTGGAAGCGTTGGAGAATGGAGGAAGAGAAAGAAGAGTGGCTTTTGATTCTGTTTAAGGTTTCAGTTTTGTTTGAGATTGGAGTTTCTTACTTTTTCTCAGTAGTACGAGTGGCACGCGCTACGCACCCAAGCTAAGCACGGGCTAAGGTTGACAAGGAACTAAACCGTACGTTTCTGTTTTTTTTTCGTCACAATGACAATTAATTGAGAAAAGAAGAATGTTGAATGAACTGCTTACAAATATTAAGATGCGTTTAGGACAAAAAAAAATTATTCAAAAGAATCACGATTTCTAGAAATATGATGGAAAAATGAATTTTTTTGATAATATTATCAAAAAATTGTTTTGTAGACTAAAATATTTATAGGAATATTGGATTAATTTTATTGACGCTATGTTTAATTGTATTAAATTTTTTCTTGTTATAGAAATCCTAGAATATCACCCCTGAATGATATTCCTAGATGATATTTTCAAAAAAAATTACACACAAAATAAAATCTCGAGAAAATCAATTTTTCGGAAAAAAATTAAAAATTTTGTAGCAATCGTGGGTACATATGATTATAACTTTCAATTTTTCAAAAATCTTAAAAAAAAATCTTTTACCAAACGCTCTTCTAGATTGGTTTTTTGATGTTATTATGAAGTGTAATACTTGTGAAGATTATTTGTTAGAAAAGAAAGGATGGGGTTTCAGGAGATATTTTGCGCAGGCGTAACTTATACATGTAACATAGGGCAAGAGTACCCGGAAGTACCCGGAAATGGTGTGATACTTTTGTAAAAAAATTTGCAAAATGTCATGGGATGGGAAAATTTTCTCACAATTTCATGTTTTAAGTTTGGTTGGGCTTATCAATTGGACTATTTCTTTTGTTACGTGGCCTAATAAATTAGTCTCGATAGCTTAGTGGAACGGCTTATTATTAGGGCATTTGACAAAATTATGGTCATCCATCTTACTAAACACTTAAATATCCTCTCTTTTTTCTATCTGTGGTAGAAAGGATTTCATAAAAAAAAATAAAAAATTGTAATTTATAATATATTATTACTTAAATTTGACATCACAAAAGGGTGTAATTAGGTTGGGATGAGTTAGGCTTTAGCTTAAATAGGTCAGGCCTCTGTAAAATATTTTTGACCTGATCTGGTCTGTTAGGCTCAAATTATAATTATGGTCTCATCTATTTAAAAAACAGAAGTCTTGACCTAGGCCTGCTAGCTTGTTTAAGCCTATTAGTCATTTAATAATTAAAAATAATTATAATAATATTACGTTGTTATTCATAATTATGAAAATAATAATGTACTTATTTTATTAAAATAAAAAATATGATATAGCTGCCTTGTAGGGCTTATATGCCCATCATTTAAAAGAAACCAAATAGTTTGCTTTCTAAATAGGCTTTTTTAGATTTAAACATGTTCTATTTGACTATATATTGTAAAATAACAAGAAACGAGAGGAATATTGAAATAAATTTGTATATTAAATTGATTCAGGAGAGTACAACATATAAAGAAATACTAATAGGCTTAACCCAGACCTAACCTAAATTCTAATGAAATAAGAAAATAGATCTTTACAAATAATAAAGATATCCTATAGTTTTTTTTTTCAACACTCCCCCTCAAGCTGGAGGGTATAGATCATAAGCAACAAGCTTGAACAAGAAAGACTAAGAAACATGACATCAAAATAAACGAGCGGGGGTTGTAATAACTCTACAACTCACCCTAAAGAAAAATAACAAACATAATAAACTAAAATAAAATATTATCTATATCTCGAATACTCCCTCTCAAGATGGAGGGACACTTTATCTTGAGAAAAAAGAAATTAAAACTAAAACAAAGCTTCACGGAATATAAGTCTGAGAAATCGACAGCAAATCAACTGCAATGAACATCAGTCTGAAGAGCTGGAAAAGACATCAGCCTAAAGGGCTGGAATATAAGCCGACAGAGCCATTTTAACTGGAAAAATCTGCGGACCAGGCAACAACTGAGAAAGACATCAGCGAAAAGGGCTAGGAAAGATATTGCTGCAACTGGGATACAAGCCGACGGAGCCACTTTAACCGGAAAAATCCACGGACCGGGCAACAACTGAGATAAATTCTCCCCCTAAGTGGGAGGCCAAAAATAAAGACAGTAGCACAAGATAGAACTCGAATAGAGGTGGCTGAAGACGATGTTGATGGACGCCGACGGATGTTGGCCGAAGATGAACAGATCTGGAAACGCAAATTGGTGAGCGCGAGATCACTCACTCGCGACCCAAACGATTTTGGTCGACAGCAAACGGCTGCCAAAAAATATCGCACGCGCCGGAAGAAGGTGGTGTGTGGATGGCAGCCACGCGCAGAGAGTGGGAGAGCTTGTGAGGAAGCTTTCGGGGACGCGACCGGCACAGACGAGACCGCACTGTCGAGACGAGCATGACGATAGGTGGCTCGCCGAAAAAGGCCACCAGACGGTGGTGGACAGCGATGGAGAAGCGGCGGTAATGGTGTTTGGATGTAAGTTCGCGGAAAGAAAGATCCAGTAACGACGAAAATACGGTATAAGAATGAAAAAGACGTCCGAAAACTGACAAGGAGACAGTATCCGAAAAAAGACAGCGAACATTGGGTTCACCGGGAAAAAAAATGGATCAAAGAGAAGCAAAGAGAGAAAGGGAACAAACAGGAAAGCCAATCACTCACGGAGGGTGATATCTCTCTACTACCATATTAAAATTATGAAAAAGAGTAAGAAAAAGAGGACAAGGATTCCTCTCGTTAGGCTCTAATACCATGTAAAATAACAAGAAACGAGAGGAATATTGAAATAAATCTGTATATTAAATTGATTCAGGAGAGTACAATATATAAAGAAATACTAATAGGCTTAGCCCAGACCTAACCTAAATCCTAATGAAATAAGAAAATAGATCTTTACAAATAATAAAGATATCCTAAGATATTCTTTCCAACATATGTAATAGGTTGAGTCTGACCTGATGTAAGCCAAGTCGTAGGTCCCTATTAGGCCAGCTGCCCCATTTACACCCCTAATAACAATAATAATAAGAACAATCGCATCCCTATAGTAAACTTAAAAAATATAATTTATAGAAATTTTTACCATATGAAATTTACTGTACAAGATTTACTGTGCAAAATTTATCGATATAATTTACATGAAAATTAAAGACATAACATATCAATATAATGAACATGCAAAAATAAAAATAAGCAATTAAATAATACATGTACGGTTTTTATCATATATATATATATATATATATATATATATATATATATATATGGGTTTAGCGGATGTACAATGACTATACTTAAGGATTGGTGCAGTCATATAAAACTACGTCGTTTTATAGTGTAAAAGTATTAAATATGGAAAATTATAACCATACAAAAGAGGATATAAATATAAAGTATTAAATATTGAGAATCATAACCATACAAAGATAAAAATAAATATAATATTTCTATTTTCTACAATTAATTTTGAGCGCAAATTTTCTTTATCTACCCAAAACAACGTAGTTTTTAGGTGACTGCATCGATGCTTATATGCAGTCACATTACAAATCATTTTGCCTATATATATATATATATATATATATATATATATATATGACATTATTCATGAGGTGTCAATGGAACTGGAATCATAAGGTGGAAAGTACATGTAGGATTCCATGGGTTACACTTTTTGTTGTTGGCTATTGGATGATACAGTAGTGGTGTAATTCAGTTGCACATGGCCAACCAACCCCTCCTTTCCTACACTCGCATCTCGCTGTGATTGATAATACACAGCAAGTTTGTGATGCTTTTGTGAAGGACACCTCTCTTCTAGTCTAGCATATAATTTGGCTTCCTCCTATGAAAGAATTTATTAAATCAAATATAAATGGTGCTTGTATGGGCAATCTGGGGGTCGCTACTTGTGGTGCGGTGCTGCGAAACTCAAGTGGTAGATAAAGTGGTGGATTTTTTTTGGAATGCAGAACTTGAGGTGTTCGAAAGGGCTCCTGTAACAGCCCATTTTACACCAGTATTGTTAACATTAATTATGATATTAAGCGCAGTTACAATCACAACAATTTATTTAAAAATACGAGTAATTTTTTTTCCTTTTCATTACGTATGCAAGAGAAAATTTATCACTCTCGAATCCTACCTTAGGCATCCCTAGAGCTTGAAGCAAGGAGGAAGGTTTTGCTACTTGCGATGCTTGGTAGTCTCCTCTTCTTCTTGTTTGAAGCTTGAAAGGTAATAACCTATGGCTCACTTTTGAGAGTTTATAACTTGGGGTTTCTTAAGTTTTGGGGTTTTTTGATTGAAAGTATGATATAATAAAATTGATGCTATGTGTATGTATATTTTGGTGTAGGAGTGTTGATTATGTTGGAAACCCGCCACCTGGACCCATTATTAGGTTAGGATTTATTTTTGAAGTTGCAAGAATTTGGGGTAAGTTTCTTAAACCCAACATGACCATGGAAGTGTAATGGAACAAACGATCGTGATTCATGTGTTATATGTGGTTTTGATTGAGCTCATACTGTGAAACATGTAGTGGAGGTGTATTTGAGCTTATTGACTTTTGGAACTTAAAGGCTAAAAGGCTTAGGAAATTGATCTTCAAAGGTAAACTCTTGAACCTTGGGATTAGTCCCACTTAGTGTTCCATCATACTCCTAGAGAGTCTTGGTTAATGACTTGAATGATTGGTTGATTTTAGATGTATGGCATAATTGCATTCATATAGTATTTTTTCATTGGTGAACGAACCAATGGGCAAACATTAGAGGCTAGATTGCAGGAATAATGGGTAGACTAATATGCAATTGAATGCTTAATGTGATGGATTGATTGATTAGTTCTTGGGCCAATTGAACCAATGGAGATATGTTTCAAGTCCTAAAGCAGGAGGAGCTAGCATTACCTGAGGAAAGGGACACGCTTAGTTTACTTGGAGTATTTAGAGTGGTATTTTGTAATTTGAAGTGATATTATCTCTTTTATATAGCACTTATATAAAACCATATTTTGATAGAATTTGTAATATTTTGGTTAATGACTTGTAA